TCAAAAGGATCCCTTTTGGGTCATGTTGCCTTTACAAAACTTGAGTTACTAAACATTATATTATATCCATATAGCTCATTTTGTTCAGCTTTTAATTCTCTATCTCCTCATATATGGCATGAAAAATTTCTATGATCTGTTGAAACTCAAGTTCACATATCTTGTATAGGATATTTTTTCTTGCTTTTTCCCAAAAAGGTACGATAGTACTAAAAGTTGATATTGGCCAACTTTTCAAAGGAAGAGTATTAGAACCTAAAATTTTGGGGTTGCTGGTTTCAGACATTGATGCTTTGAATGAGCAAATAAAAATCGAAAAAAAAATTTTATCGAGTGTCTCGTATACTCGGTTTCCTGATGGACGTTCTCTTAAAAAGTCTTTCGTTACTTACATGTAGACTTAATGCTTTCTCTGTGTCCAAATTGCTTATTTTCTGTATTGCGAACGAACTCCATTTTCAGTTACAATCTTCCCAAGAAAACGGCGTATGACTATATATAATACACTTGTGTTTTTAAATTACTCTAAATGGCATTTTAGTGTAAAAAAGACGGTCCTATATTTTTCCTATACTGCTAGGACAGTTCTATATAAATTTCTTTTGCAGTCCTATGTTTTCAGGGAGTACTGCTACGAAGCCAGACTGCCTCTACAATGTAAGTATTCTGTTTGCAAGTATCTTTATAATTCTGCCAACGAAAGTAATCAATAAACGTATTGAAACTTTCATTGTTAGGATCTTGTTCCTCATACAATCCTAGACTACCTCGGGCGTGACAGTGCACCGTTCGTCGATATGCTTTTGCTGCTGTTCTTACTCGTGTTGTTGTTCTTCTTCATGGTGCTACCATATTTCGTACTTCCTCGTTCGCATCCTGATGGGTTGTTGGTATATTATTCTCTTCTCTTGCTTAGTCTTTCATGTTGAATATGATGAGCGCTTTGTCTTCGGATGAGTTTCATGAAAAAAAGCAGGAGAGCCAAGAGAGAAAAAGCGAAACTTCAGAAGTGTGTGCTTTACTATACTTCACTATACTTCACTTATACTTCATTCATAATTCAAATGTTTTACTTCAAGTATTGAAGTCGCGCTTTTTTCTCCTCGGGGCGATCACATCATTTTAATCATGTCCTATGTCAAATCATTAAACAATAATACAACAAAAAAGCAAATTTGGATTACCTTCTATAAATACCCCTCGATATTCAACTCTATTGAAAATAGAGTAAATAGGCATGAGGATCAAGATGAGTAACCTTTTCTTCTGAGTTGACATACTATTGATATGTTTCTCTTTGAAAGGTTGAGAAGAGAAAAGGGCAAATAAATTTATAGCGTACTTACTATACAGATAATGCACTCGTTATCATCGCACTTCCTTTCTACTATAAATAATATGCAAATAATGCTTGTAATGCTCATATATCTGCAATTACGGCAGTTTTTCCCCATTCTCATGGTCCTATCTCGAGAGAAGAAAAATCTGATTACTGTTTCGCAATAACTGAAGGATGAAAACAATGGGTAATTCAACGAAACAGTGCAGAATCACCAAAATATAGGGAAACACATGCTATGATTTTGAGAGTGTGGGTGGGTATGGATGTAGATGTGGGAGTGGGGGTGGTTTGGGTGCTGGATGTTGGTGGGTTGTGATGGTGTGGATATGAGTGGGTGTGGACGGGGCGTGGGCGTGGGTGTATGTATACTTTTCATCTACACCCACACCCACCTACACCCCAGCCCCACCCCTAATAAAAAACAGCTGATATTATTTTTTTGTCAATAATTTATGGATTCACATGATCATTAACTTTTTCTGTAAAGTCATTGATTGTTTCGTCTTTCTAATTGATAGCATTGGTTTGATTTTTAACAACCTAAATATTGCTCTTTGCGCTTCAAAATATTATTTCGCGCATGTCTTGATATTTATTACTTCATTTCTAAATTTTTTTGCGACCCAGGGCGAGAATGAGTGGGTATGCATGTGTGTGTGGATCTGTAATATTATTAGCACCACACGGAACCATACGCACTTACATCTACCACACCGAAGTCACTGATTGATACTTGAGTTATGTTTTCCCAATAAATTAAGCGACTGAACGAAATTTCTCTTAAAAGTCGAACCACATTCGCGAGAAATCAAAGCTTGAGAGTTGTCAGTGGGCGTCGGTGTGTATGATTGACGGTGGTGTTAATAATATTTAAACATTCACACTGGTTTTTGCGAAAAATTATTCATTCAGAAGATTTGAAAACTGTGCATATAGGAGTCTATGGGCTTTTTTATTTCAAACTGAATTCTAAAATCAAAAAAACCACACCAATTTCTTCCGAATCAAGCTTTTCTCGCTTGATACTAGGTAGTCTCACTAAAAACCCTTAGTCCCCCCTAGTCCTGCAAAGTCCCCCTTAGCCCCCCCCCCACAAAAAGCTTAGTCCCCGCTTAGTCCCCTGTGCAGGGGACTAAAGCCTATAGTACACAAAACCACAAGCACACCCTCACCCTCACTCGCGCGCCCACACCCACACCATGGGTGTGGGTGTGTGTGGGTCCCAGACCAACACCCACACCCTCAGTCACCCCCCCCTCACTCCTAGACTCACGTTTCAGTTTGAAATCAAGTATTATTTTTATTTGATAAATTCAGACTGAAATTAAATAGCCCATTGTATGGCATATAGGCAATCGTCCCATTGTGACATCATTCATGGAAGTGTACACAACGTATCGCGAAGAAGAAAGTGATTGAAATGTTTGCCTGTTTCGGTAACAAAATGTTTTGCTACACTTGGTTGCATTACATGCAATTAACTGGCAGTATTCGTATGTCTGTTATCTAATTTATAGTATGTAGTTTCATGGTAACACGCTTATTTTTTAAAAGAGCCATTTCTACCGGTTAATTACAGTCATGTACATGTCTAGGAAAGAGAAGCCGTTTCTACTGACAAATATCTTTCGCTTTCAAATAGGGTGTGGGTGTGGGTGTGTATTCTCTCCAACAGCAACCACACACCAAATCGATGCCCACACCTACACCCGTACCCATATCCACACCCGCACCCCACAGACCCACACCCACACCCACACCCACACCCACACCCACATCCACATCACACCCACCCATACCTACACCCCACATCCACACCCACACCCCGTTATCCGCCGTAATTGGTTGATACACCGCCGTGTATGACCAAGGAGGATTGACCTGGAGCCTTTGTAATGCAGACTTGGTATTTTTTGGTTTGATAGAGCATGTCAAGATACGGAGAATTACAAAGCTTTTTTTTGTAACTCGCATTTTTACAGCGGCGAACCGGAAGGAAAATTTCAGGACCTCGAATAACTTTCAAAAAGTTTGCGCTCTAGTTATAAAAGAACTTTTTCATATACTAGTAACATAGCTTAATTCAAGAAAAGGGCGTGGGTGTGAGTGTGATCTTAATTCAATCCCATACCAACACCTAGTCTAGCACTACTCTAGTTATGCCACTAACTATGGCAGATATTCATGAACAGTTTCTATAGAATTCTATTCATTTTTCATGAATTTCTATATTGGCCGCGAAGTTATTTTTATCTTCAGGTTTGATTTTGTGAATTTTAATTAACAACTCAATCACTGATCTAATAGCTTAATACATGATTAAAATTAGATTGATATGACATTTCACAGGATGTGTTACAGACAAAACGAAACGAACTAATAACATATCAATCCTTGTATTCAAATCAAAGGTGAAGATATATTTAAAGAAGCTTAAAAAAAATCTTTATCTATAATTTTAGATTAAAAGCAAATAGTCAAGTTTTGGTTCTATTATGTTCGTGTATTCTAGCATTTAAAATAGGATACGACTCTGACTTTATATTGACAACTTGAAAGAAACAGATATAACCTATTCCTTGGATCTGACAAAACATTTTGTATATATTATCAAACAACGAAAATGATCGTCTTTTCCATCGCCGTTTCAATATACTTTGCTTCTCTAATTGAAGCTAATATTGATTTATGTATATTCAATTCGAATCTTGATGCATTTCCTTCGAATTGGTCGTATTCTACACTAGACAAAGTAAAACATTGTTTTCAAAGCATACCAGTGGATAATATGGTAGTGAATCAAACAATGCAACAATTATTCAATTCATTGGATTTTTATAGTTTTCTGAGTATAGTTCATCAAAGTGGTTCTCCCTATTTCATCAGTGTAGATCTTCGAAATGAATTATTAAATATACAAAATCAATTGAATATGAATATGTACAAAAACGACTATGATTTTCATATGTCCATTGTGGGTTCATATAAAAAATTGAATGATTTTCATACAGAATACACTGCACCAAATGGTTATGCCAATTTTGTATTAATATTACCATTTATCTTTGAATTTTTTCCATCAACTCAACAAATAAAAGTTCAAAGAGGAATTCAATTATATTCTTCTATCATTGGAAACAATTTAAATATGAATTATAACGATAGAATAGTTACAAAGATTGATAGTATGAATGCATTAGATTATATGAAACACTTTGCTGAACAATATTCACTTATTAGTAAAGATAAAAGTGTGAAATTGAATTCTGTGTTCAGAGAAGAATTTTGGATACGAAATCTTGCGCGTTATCCATTTCCATCAAACAATAATATAACATTTACTTTTTTAAACAACAATGAATTAACACTAACTTTTCCTTATCTCGTAATCATAACAAAAAAATTCGATAATCCAAACAGTTTGGAAAATGACAATATGTTTTCCGCACCAATATTATTCGATCACACAAGGGTTTTGAAGTATGTAACAAATTTCGAAAAATTGAATTGGTACCAAGAAAAACAAAGTCATGCCTTCGATTATATAATGGGTGGTAATGGTACTTATTATTATATTCATAAACGAACAAAAACTTCTGTGATCAAGCTTGAATCATTTGATGAGGAAATTTTTGAGAATGTGAAAAATATTTTTTTGATGTCTTCTGGAGATACATTAATCATTGACTTGATTGGTAATCAAGGTGGTCGTAGTTGTATAGCTTATAGTTTACTCAATTATTTAGTTCCGGAATATTCTAATCTAAGTGTATTGTATGAATCGTTCGATGGTAGAATAACAAAACCATTACAATCATTCTCGAAGGCATTTAGTTTATCTCGAAATGCAATATTAAATCTTCAAACTGGTCTACCATTTACAAATATGGATTGGATACAACCATATGTTAATTACACAAGAGGGAATTCGACTGATGAATATTCAATGAAATGGTCGATTAATTGTGATGGACAAGCATTTGGTTCCGGAAAATTTTGGCTAAGCAATAGCACTAATAGGAGATATTTTAAATCAATTTATGTTTTAACAGATGGTACTTGTGGTAGTGCTTGTGGTTTATTTTTATCTAAATTAGCATTGGGTTCGAATTTTAAAAAAGCTTATGGTATTGGTGGTGGATATGATGGAAATAATTTATTTGAAAGTTCAAGCTATGCTGGAGGTGGTACATTTAATTGGAATGATATTGTTGGATATTATACTTTAGTTGGTGCTAATGATTCGTCCATTAACTATTTACCAACAAGTGCTTTCTTGAGTGTGAATGTTTATGAGATCTATATTAGTAAACTAAATCCTGACTACCCAAGAGAATTCTTGTCACAGCCAATTGATAGACAAGTAACCAATGCCAATTATTTTAATCTACAATCCGCTTTAGAAGAGATAATCAATGATGATCAATCAACCAAATGGACATACTCTGATGATAAACAGTTCATTAAGGATCATCATTTTTAACCTATTAATAGTAGGATTGCTATTGAAAGCAACCCATTAAGTAGTAAAAATTTAATATAACAATGCAAGTCATCATATATGACAGATTGTATTCATTGTAGCCAGCGGTTTCGTTTCTGATCGATCCTATTTCATTTGTTGAATGTTGAACTAAATATATTCGTAGTGAATTTTATGAGTAGATCCTTTTTTTAAAGAAAAAGCGATACATATATATCACATGAGGTACTCGTTTGTGATACATACAGTGTTCAAACGAACATTTTATGTCAGATTCGTAGCCGGTTACGATAAAAGTCAGGTCTCGTTGAGGTTTCATTACTGTGTGTCCTTTGTTTTCTTAGCTTTTGCATATTTTTCTCGTCAAGTGTTGATAATAGAAGTAATTTTCTTGTAAGCTAAATATTTTTGACTGACATTGAAGCCTATTGTTATGAAGTGAAAATGGGTTATACCACACTTCTTACATTTGATCAACCTGGTTTCTTTTCAATTTATGCTTTGGAAAAAGTCACACAATGCTCATTGTCGTGCCGCTTTTTATACAAGAGCGAATAGTAAAGAAAAGTCAGTCTCTCTGAGTATTGGACTATAACTATTCCAGTTTCTCAAGTCAAATGTCAGAGATGATTTATCATTGAAATTATATCATTTGATTTCTTCCAAATATTATCAGAAACAATTTATCTACCCGAACATGATGTACACAATATATGACTCCAGGAAGTCCCGAGGTTGCCAAGATTGGGGGGGGGGGGGGCGAGATTGTTTTGAGAGTTAGTGAGCAAAAAAAACCGAAAAAATGTTGAAATTTTACTGGGGAAAAACAGAAAATTTTTCAACATTGGGGGGGTCACCCCCCATCCCCCCGGTCGGGACACCCCTGTATGACTCATAAAAATCACAGTGACAAAATTTTTGAAGAAAGAAGCAACAATAGTTATCATGTTTCAAAAGACTTTGGCCTCTATATGAGAGTTTTATTAAATATAGACGATGAGTCAGCTTAAATAAGACTGTTGGTATTTTAAAGATTTC